AGCTGTGTTTCTCATCATTAAAAAACTTTATATTAATGTTATGGGTAAAATGTATGTCTTGCCCTTTTAATTATCTTTCTTTTTCACATATTTATAATGTACCAACCATTGATATTTCCTGAAAAGCTCAATGTCTGAATATTTACAGCCAGCTGTGTTGACTTTAGTATGCTAACCTAGGTTATCAATGCTTTAATGTTCATCTGAGGTTATATCTTATATTATTTCTTTTTGACCCAATACTGTACCTAGAAATATTTGAGAAATGGAAATTTTATTTTTAATATTATAAAATTAGCAATTCAAGCAGGATATTAAGGATGTTCTCATCCTAAAACTTCATGTGTTTATTAACTTAAATCTCTTGGAATTTCTAATTATATTAGATCAGTAGATTAAATTATAAAAATCTATTCTAATTCTTTTTTTTCTTCAAATTTGAGAAATGTGTTTGATTTTTTGCAGTTTTTAAAAAAACTTTTTAAAGGACTATTTGAAATAGGCAGCTTAAACCTAATTTTTAGGGCTAGCATAGGTGTGGTTATAGGATGCAGTAGTTTCGTGACTTGTGATGACTAAAAACTAATTTGCAATTAGAATATAGTTTCCCACATTAAAAAATAGTGTTTTTGATAACATCAAAAGTGCATTTAAAGTTTAAGCTTAATTTTCTAGCCATAAAGGAGGCAGAAAAGTATTCACCAATCTTTGAAAGATTCTTTAAAATAAAAAGAACTTTGGCCATGGCCATGACAAGAACTTAAATAATTCCATGGCCCAGAGTGGCACTTTCTTGATGCTGGGAAAAGGATCTTGGGCAGGATGCAAAGGAGGGGACAGATTCCAGGCAGGCCGAATGCTTCAGCACCTCTGTCTTCTGCCAGATAGGAACCCTTAGTGAGACAAAGCCAGGGGAGGAGGAAACAATTATCTCCTGGGAAAGTCCTCTGTAAGCTGGAACACCACAGATTTCTCAGAGTGGGAGCTGGGATCAGAGTGTCTCCTGGTTCTTGATGAAACAATTCAGTCTGTTTCAAGGACATGAACCTGGGAAAATGATTGGCTTGTGGAAAATGTTACTTGGGCATTTAGAAATAACCCTGCTATTATGCACTGGAAATCAGCCTTAATTTACAACTATATTTCTTGTTAAGTGTTAGAGGACTTACTAGGTAATTACTGTATTACAGCAATATTAGTAATGATAATAAGAGCATATGCTGAGTGTTTACTTCAAGGTAGATACAAGATATTCATTATATTATTTAATTAAGAATTTTACTTAGCATTCATTTTATGTTACTTCCCCTGCCCATCAGCTGTTGTTGTACCCAGGAATCTGTTCTTGATCAAAATCAGTATAAGGAAACTCAGTTATAAATAAATAAGTCTTAAAAGATTTTATAGCCTTATAATTTCCTATGCCTTATCTTCTTTATTTTAAAAAATGGTTCAGAGATGTACCATTATTTTCTGATTTTGATAATTCTGTGATGTAGGTTGTTTAAATAAATGGGATAAGAGATATGAGGGAACTTTTTGTACTAATTTTGCCACTTTTCTATAAGTCTAAAATTAATTAAAAACAAAGTCAAAAAGCCTCACAATTTATAACAATTCAGTTTATATCTTTTATTATTTTGTGGCAATAAAGCAATTCATCTTCAGTATACAGAACATTTTACATGCATATACACAAAAAGAACGTGAAAATCCCCTATCTCAACAAACTAAAGATTCCTGCTCTAAATATGTAAGTATAAATTCATTGAGCTATGTATGTATATGTATGTTTAGCATGTATTAGTTTCAATCACTGACTCTGCAAAGATAAAACTTTATATTTTTTTATTGAACTTAATTTTATCTAAATCTTTGGTTTGCCTAATGGGCAGTAACTTATTTTAGTTACTTTCAGGTACTTCAGTCATTTTAAGATTTAAAGTCAATTAAATTCAGGTTTCAAATTCAGTCCCACTTCTCTTGCCCATTTGGGTCTTATGTTTAGGCTCTATGCATCTTCTGCAGGCACCCACTATTGATATAACTCAGGCACCAGCATCCTGCTTCTGCTTACTAGAACCACACTTCAGTGAAAGCTTCCAGACTTCATAGGGCTGAAGACTCCCTGGGGACTGTCATAGGATTTTACAAAGCTGCCCTCGGGAAGCTTAACAGTAGGGCCCCTACCTACTAACATTTACTCCTTGACTGCCCTGACACATTTCTGACTCTATGAGACCCTAAGATCTGCAGAATCCTGAGGGTACTCTCTGGAAAATGAGGCATAGCTTCCTTTCTTGTGGTATTTCCAGAAACTTTGCTAGGCTATCCTCCCTCCCCTTGTGGTGCTTGGCCCTGGGTGATGGCATCTATTTATTCTGTGAACTGTTGGGTGTCATTCCTGAAAATTCTTCTCTTCCATTGAACTTTGTGTCTATCTCTATTAGGGTGAATTAAGCAAACAAGTTCATATACAATATCATATATTAATCCAGAATCTATTAGTTATGACATAAACCTGGAAGTCTTTGAACTGAAGCCAGACTTCTAGAAATTCAGATTTTTAAATTTTTTTATTTTTTGTCAAGGGCTTCAAAATTCTATTTTGTTAAGAAACTATAACTTTTTTGCAGACACTAGTGAAAATTTGAGTACAAACTAGTTATTAGAAGACACCAGGGATTGACTTATTATTAATTTTGGGGGGTTTGAGAATAGTCTTGTGGTTACAATATTCATAATTTTTAGAGAAGTTAATGAAGAAGGCATTATAGGCAGGGGGAGTTGTGAAGTGATAAGATTGTGAGGTAGGGGACAGATTATGAAGAGCCACATATGCCATTCTTGATTTTGTGCTTATAGCATCAAACAGTGTGGGAGAGACATGGTTAATCTGTATAAAGGGGGGGGTAAGATAAGAAGTGTGTTTGTGGCTGGAGGATTTTTATTCCTTCCTGCCCTTCAGTACCCATATCCAAATCCATAAGCAAACTCTGTTGGTTCTCTAAGCTTCATCACCTCCTCATTCCAAGCCACCATCTCTTACCTGGACACAATTTTTTCCTATCAACTAACTAGTCTCTCTGCTTCTGTTCCATTCTTCATAAAGCTGTGAGAGTGAATTTTTTAAAGCCTAATTCAGATTGTCATTCTCCTGCATTTAATGGCTCTCTATTGCATTTAAATAAAATGAAAACTCTAGCATAGACCATAAATTTCTATGTAATCTGGCTCTTACCTTCCTCACTATCTTCTGTGTGCCACCCTCCTTACATATTAGGCTAACACAAAAGCCACTCTATTCAATTTTTTTTTTTCAGTTACAAATGTTCATTTTTCAGAAAATATTATCTGGTGTCATAGTTCTGAATTTAAATCAGTATAACATTTTAATCAAACTAGTACAAACTGCATTTCATTTAAAAATTAAAATAAAAGATTAATCGAAAGGGTGTTCAGGTTCAACTGCTAGATCAGAGATGACAAAAATGTTGACTTTAAATAGCAAATTTTTATTTCATTCCATCTGCATTCTTTAACCATGGGACAGTCATTACTCATAGGTCTTTAGTCTTTAAAGAGTCAGGTTTAATGTACCTTCATATTTGAATTTTATCTTTGACGCTAATGAGCATGGCTTCTTTATTAATTTTACACACAAAGTATTTTCAGTCTGGGCATTTTCAGGCTTATTTTCCAAGAACTTATTTAGAATCTGGCACACCAAAAATTAAGCTATATTGCCATTTGCCTCACAATACTTCCACACGAAAGGAAAGTAATTAAACTAATTTGAAATGCCACTATCTTCATCTTCCTCATCTGTTAGTGAAATAGTAAACTGCTGCAAATTCGATTTCTCACTCCACTGCTGGTTCATGTTTACAGATCATGATAGTTTAAGATAATGAACAAAATGCCTCTTGAAAAACTGTTTCACTGACCACCTCCCATACTCTGTTGAGAAGTATCAATACTGATCACATTCACAAATACATTTCCTCATTGATCGTGCAAATGTCTTTGACACTGGGAGCATGAGTCCCTCCAGAGCTACAGTTACGAGCCTTAAGTGCAATTCAAGGCCACCACTAGTTTCTTAACCTGGTATGGCTCGCTGCACCAGTTAAAAAGCCTACTAAATCAGCAAGCCTCTTCTAGGATCCCTAGGCACAGAGAGCCCTCCGGCCCCTTCGGTTGCAGCCAGTCCTCTGGTCTACCAGCCAAGACTCACCCCCCTCCCAGTCCCCCGGCTTTCTCAGTCTCCTCACGCTCTCAAAAGCTCGCCGCGGGGCGCCTCGAAGCGCCCCCTACAGTTTTTCGAGAAAAACAAGCTTCTTCCCGCCTGGTCGAGGAAGCCACGTGCCTGAGGGGAAGCTGGTCTCACCCACCGCTTCCAGCAATCACCAACAAAGCGGGTTGGGCCGTCATCGCATTTTTCTGCTTTCCTTTACCAGGCATGAAAATTTTCCTTTTAAAAAGAAGGAGGTGGAGGGAGGAACACCACAACTCTAAATTCCAGTTAAGCTCTTTTGAACGGTGTGCCTCAGATTCGCCAACGAGGCTTAAAATGAATATTCTGAGGGTAACTACCCAGGGTCCACCACGGGAGATGAAGGGAAGTATCTCGCTAGTAGCCCCAGTGCTCATAAATCACAGCTTACTCAGTATTAGATCTATTACATGTCAAGTCAGATGAGAAAATTAGAGGCCCGGATGGGGTAGGGCCTGAAGAATGTGGCTGAGGCTTAGAGAGTGGGGGAAACAGCGGAAAGCAGAACCGTTTCTCTCGGTTTGAAGCAGGGAATCAAATCGCGGACACCGCGGTTACAGCACTCGGGTTCCTGGGGCCGCGTGGCTTTCCCGCCCGCCGCCTGGGGGGCGGGGAAGAACCCGGATGATACTGTCCTAGCAGCCGGGACCCCCCACCGTCTTTGAATCGCTGCGCGGGGAGGAGTTGCCTTTCCTTCCGTGCACTGATTGGTTCGTCTCCATAGGCTTCTTCCTCGTGATTGGACTTTCTCAGTGCCAGTCTCAAAGCGACACTGGGATCTCAGATTGTTGCTAGAAGGAGACGGCGTCGACGACTGACTAGGCTGGCGGCGTTCTACCTTCCAGTAGTGCGCTCTTCCTCTGGCGCTGGAAGCCTGCCCTTGGCCTCTCTGCTGTGGGGCCTGGAAGGAGGAGTAGCGAGGCGGCTCGAGAACGATCCGGAGCGCCCAAGCGTTCCTCTCGTCATCCGCTCAGCGCCATGTCCTGGATGTTCAAGAGGTAAAGGGGGCGGCGGGGGTGGGGCGCAGTGGGTAACCGCCTGGCGGCGTCCCCAAATGAACCTGACCTTCTCCGTGCGATTTGTGTAGCTTGTATTCGTTCTGCTCAGGGCTCACATAGCTGCAGGCGAAATAAATGCAGTTCTGGAGGGCAAGGGGAGGCTTCTCAGGCGAGTCTCGCGCCAGTGCCTTGGGGAATCTGTCAGGGGCTGTGGGGGGCATGGGGCCCAAAGCTCGTACTTCTTAGCCGGGATGGCATCACTGTTCAGCAAGACACCCGCTAGATGTCCACTGTGCGCTAGGCATTGTGCTTGGAATAAGGGCCGTGTAAGAACCCTTGTCCCCTAATAGTTCGCAGCTTCTGTGCAGGAATAGACGTGTAAATATGTCTTTGCTGAGGAGCTGAAAGAGCTATGCGCGACGTACAGGGAAAACGAAGGGGAAATAGCTTCTTTCTGTTTTTACGAGAGTAGACACTTCTGGAAGCCTCTCAGCTGACTTTACTTTTCGTTGTCCAAATTGTTTTGCATGTCTGTTTCTGAAACAAAAAGGGGTTGAGGTTACCCATAAACCAATGGGAATCGGAGGCTTGAGGTCAACCTCCCATGATGGCTTGGTTTGGATACCTGAATAAAATAAGGGTTCTGTTCGAATGGATGCTAAATGTGTTGCCTGTAAAGATAAAAACAGCTTCGTATGTAATAATAGTTGTATATTTGCATTCTGTTTCAGTCTCTATTTAAATTTGGCAGGTAAAATTACAGGCATCACAAACATTTCAGTTTAAATCTATGATCACTAGTAAAGAGATTTATGAATCCTTATTCGAGTTTTCATTTTGAATACTCGTGAGTATAAGGTATTTCAAACAGGTAGGGTTCCTTGAAGCTTTCTGACACATTACATCCAATCCCTACTTTAACCAGAGTAACTATTAATCTTTATACAGCATTTACCACATAAGATTTAATTGTCGAAATAAAGTGAGAAAACAGTTGACTTTCAATATAGTATGGTCTTTGAGAAGTACTTGGTTAAATATTGTATTGTTTTTCTGTGCTTTTTTTCCCTAAATAGAGATCCTGTTTGGAAATACTTGCAGACTGTCCAATATGGAGTCCATGGAAATTTTCCACGCCTCTCATATCCAACTTTCTTTCCCCGTTTTGAATTCCAAGATATTATCCCTCCAGATGACTTCCTAACTAGTGACGAAGAGCTAGATTCAGTTTTATTCGGAACTTTGAGAGGTCATGTAGTTGGGCTACGCTATTACACAGGAGTAGTGAGTATGATATTAGATACCAAGTTAAAATATGATATGTTTATGATATTAACCTAGAAAATGAAAATTAGAAAGTGCTATGTGCAGTTAGAAGTAATTGAAATATATCTGGGCAACAGACAAATACCTAATGACTAATATTCTTCTACATTTATATCATGCTTTCAATATACAGGGCACTTTTTACTGTAGGACCTCATTTGATTGCTGCAGTGACTCTCCTATACCCTTTCTGTAACTGAAGAACTGAAGCTCAGGAAGGTTAAATAATTTGTCCAGAAAGCACAGACACTATGTTGTACACTTGCAAAATGATTTGCAAGTCAGTCCGTTGCTTTTTCCTCTTCTGCCCCTCAGCACTCTATTACACTTTAATATTTTTAATTTAAAGAATATTAATTCCTAGAAGATAAGGGAATTGTCTATTTTTTGGTCCTTTTTTCCTTTCTGTAGTAAGACTGTCTCCCAGTTTTTCTTCCTGTGTCATTTTTCTGTATCTCTATTCTTTGCATTGTGTGTGTGTGTGTGTGAGAGAGAGAGAGGAGAGAGGAACAGAGATAGAGAATGTAGGACTTCTTCTAATCAGTAGTTGTCTTTTTTATGTTTTCGTAGTTTGCCTCTGTGTTATCTAGATGATATACCTCTAGTTTGTTTTTTGTTATGAAAAATTTCAAACGTGCATACAAGTAGAATAGTTCAGTATACTCCCATATCCCTATCATTTGTTTCTATTACTTACTTCTTACAAAGTCTGGTCGTTTTTGTATTCTTCCTACTTTGGTCTCTAATTCTGGAATAGTTTTTCTAATTTTTTCCTGAAATTTATCAAGTTTATGTATTACCTTTGGTTATTAAGTCTCACAAGTCCAGATTCAGCAGTTGAGTTTTTTGCATGTTTGCTTCATCACTTTTTAGTACGAAAAATCCGAACTCTTGTCACTTTACATCCATATAATTCAGAATGTATTTCTAAAAAAAACTCAGATTTTCTTACATGTCACTTCAATACATAACAAAATTAATAATTCTTTAATATATCTAATAACTAATCCATAATCAGCTTTCCTTATTGTTTAAAGATGTCTTTTTACAGTTCATTTTTTTCAAATCAGAAACAAAACAAAGTTTATCTATTACCTTTGGTTGTTAAGTCTCACAAGTTACCCTCCTCCCACCCCCACTAAGTTTCATGTTATTTGTTGCAAAAACTACATCTGTTTTGTGGAAAGTTCTGGGATTGTCAGTTCTTTGAGCCCTCCCCGCCCTTTTTTTTATGTTCGAGTTTCTCAAATCATTTTTTGGTTGTGTTCTTCAAGAGATTCCTTGGGAAAGAAGTCCATGATGTGAATTCCATGAGTCATTCTCCTGTATTTCGGTTGTATTGGAGTGTCTCAGATCATGTTATTGTCTGAAATGTGTTGTCTAGGAGAGTTCTTAGGAAGGAACAATATTTCCTGACTGCTTGTATGTTTGTAATGTGATGTTTGTACTTGAAGGGCAGTTCAGCTTTTATAAAATCCTTGACCCATATTTTATTTCCATGACATCTTGAAGTTGGATAAAATATTGCTGGTGAGAATCTGATGCCAAAACGATTTCTCCCCCACATAAGTGAATTGGAACTTTTTTGCCTGGGTAACTAAAAGATATTTTTCTTGTAAGTCAAATAGTTTTATTAGGGTGTGTCTTAGTGTTGACTGTTCTGTAAGTTCATTTTCTTTTTCAGAAAATTTTCTTCAATTATAGTTTTAAATGTTTGTTTTGTTGCAGAGCTTTTTTTTCTTTTTCAGTGTCTCTATTCTACTGTCTATATATTAGATCTACATATATTTATGCTATATATATATATATATATATATGCCTATTACTTTCTCAATTTTTTTTTACTTTAACATTTTCATCATTTGTTTCCTTTACCCTACTTCTTACAAAGTCTGATCGTTTTTGTATTCTTCCTACTTTGGCCTCTAATTCTGGAATCGTTTTTCTAATTTTTTCCTGATACTTATCAATTTTTTTATCCATCAGTTCTCTAGATCTCATACTTACCTTGGAGCTTTTCTTTTTCTGATGTGTGCTATTTTTTCAAAACTTACGTTGTTTCCTAGATTATTTTAAGCCATTGTGAAATATTAGATGGTTGTTAATGATCTTAGGATTATTTGACTATTTGCTGATCTTAGAATAATTTCTATGACTCTGGTAAGCTAATAAAAGTGGTGCGCTGATTAAAATTAATCATCTCTTAGCATTTTTTCATTTTTCAAAATGTGTTATACCTTCCTTAGGTTCTTTTATTTTTAGATTCTTGATTTGAACACCTAATTTTAATCTATTCAGTAATAAAAGTTCTTGATCTTGTGAATTTTCTTCAAAGTACTGAATTGGCTGCATCTCCTAAATTTTGTTGTATAATAAAGTAGATTATTTCTTTTCTAGTCTAAAAATAGTTATAATTAGTTCTAATTCTGTCTTTTTGTTGTCTTGATCTTCCTGCTTTTTTCTGTGTCCTTTTTTGTCTTGCTGCTTGGACCATGTTTTTATTTTTATAGTCTCTAACATTTTGGCCTGTATGTATTGTTCTAAATTTTATTAGTAATTAGCTGTCATCTATAGTGAATGACAGTTATCTAATTAACTTGTTTTAGATGAAATGCTCAAAAAATGTTAGTTTTTTGCCCTACTTTTTTTGGGTTAAATACTTTCTTGTATTTGCATGATCTGTTTTAAAGAAGATCATGTTATAGCAGTGGTAGAGGGTAGGTGGGCTAAGAGAGAACAGGGGTATGTTTCATAGAATATCTCCAAAATGCTAGAGAGGAATATACATCTGATAATGTGATTGGTCAAGCTATAGTCCCTTGAGTCAGTAGATGGATTTTGGGAGATGTTTAAAGCAACTTTCCTATGTTTTTTTTTCAGGTAGTTGAAAATAATAGGATAAAATATGCCATTCTAAAGTGCACAGTTGAATGGTTTTTAGATATTTACAGGTTTGTGCAACCATCCCCACTGTCTAGTTCCAGAACATTTTCATCACTCCAGAACGAATGATATCTCGTGGTTTTAATTTCAATTTCCCTGATTAGTGATGTGGAGCATCTTTTCATATGCCTTTTGGCCATCTGAATTTCTTCTTTGGAGAACTGTCCAGCTCCTCTGCCCATTTTTTAATTGGATTGTTCGCATTTTGTTTGTTGAGGTGCGTGAGCTCTTTATATGTTTTGGATGTCGACCCTTTGTCAGATCTGTGATTTATGAATATATTCTCCTATACTGTAGGATGCCTTTTTATTCTCTTGATGGTGTCCTTTGCTGTACAGAAGCTTTTCAGCTTGATATAGTTCCACTTGTTCATTTTTGCTTTTGTTTCCCTTTCCTGGGGAGCTATGTTCATGAAGAAGTCATTCATAAGTTTATGTCCAAGAGATTTTTGCCTATGTTTTTTCCTAAGAGTTTTATGGTTTCATGGCTTACATTCAGGTCTTTGATCCACTTCGAATTTACTTTTGTGTATGGGATTAGACAATGATCCAGTTTCATTCTCTTTCATGTAGCTGTCCAGTTTTGCCAACACCAGCTGTTGAAGAGGCTTCATTTCCCCATTGTATGTCCATGGCTCCTTTATCATATATTAATTGACCATATATGTTTGGGTTAATGTTTAGAGACTCTTCTGTTCCACCGGTCTGTGGCTCTGTTCTTGTGCCCGTACCACATTGTCTTGATTACTGTGGCTTTGTAGTAAAGCTTGAGGTTGGGGAGCAAGATCCCTCCCACTTTATTCTACCTTCGCAGGATTGTTTTGGCTATTCGGGGTCTTTGGTGGTTCCATATGAATTTTAGAACTATTTGTTCTGGTTTGTTGAAGAATGCTATTGGTAATTTGATAGGGATTGCATTAAATCTGTAGATTGCTTTGGGCAGGATGGCCATTCTGACAATATTAATTCTTCCTAGCCAAGAGCATGGGATGAGTTTCCATTTGTTAGTGTCCTCTTTAATTTCTCTTAAGAATGTCTTGTAGTTTTCAGGGTATAGGTCTTTCACTTCTTTGGTTAGGTTTATTCCCAGGTATTTTATTCTTTTTGATGTAATTGTGAATGAAATTGTTTTCCTGGTTTCTCTTTCTATTAGTTCATTGTTAGTGTATAGGAAAGCCTCAGATTTCTGTGTATTAATTTTGTATCCTGCAACTTTGCTGTATTAAATAGATACTTTTATTGTACCATTTTATTTCCCTGGTTGTTTATTTTTTTATATATTTTAAGTTTTCTTAGTTTCTCTGGGGAATTATAATTAATGTGTTAATTTCATAAGAATCTATAGTTTGGATTAGTACCAACTTAATTTTAGTAGTGTACAGAAACTTTTATTGTAGATAGCTCCATTCCCCTCTTCCCCACCCCTTTGTACTATCATCATACAAATTACATCTTTATATACATTATATGCTAAACATAGATTTATATTGATTGTTTTATGTCCTTTTCAATAGGAGAAAGAAGTTACAACCAAAATAATTAAGCTTTTATGTATACTTAAGTACTTTCCTTTACCTTTGGTTTATTTCTGCATGTAGATTCAAGTTATTGTCTAGTGTCCTTTGATTTCAGCCTGAAGGTCTTCCTTTAAAATTTCTTGTGGGGCAGATATGCTAGTGGTTGGATTCTCTCAGTTTTTGTTTATCTGGGAATGCCTTAATTTCTCCTTCAGCATTGAAGGGCAGTTTTATCAGATACAGAATTCTTAGTTGAGTTTTTCTCTTTTAGCACTTTAAAAGCCATCTCACACTTCTGCCCTCTATGGTTTCAGATGAAAAATTGTATATTAATCCCCTGTATGTAATGAGTTGCTTGCCTCTTGCTGCACTCAAAATTTTTTCCACAGCGTGATTATTATGTGTCCAGGTTTGGGTCTCAATTTACTTGGAGCTTGTTGAGCTTCTTAGATTTGTAGATTAATGTTTTTCATCAAATTTGGGGAGTTTTCACTTATTATTTCTTGGAATATTCTTTCTACCCCTTTTTCTCCTTCTCTTCTGAGACTCTGTATGTAATGGTACAGGTCTCTGAGGCCTGTTCCTATTTCTGCATTCTTTTTCTTTCTGTTCTTCAGACTCTAATCTCAGTTGACCTGTATTAAATTGTTGATTCCTCTTTGTTATACCTGCTGTTGAGCCTTTCCAGTGATTTTTTTACTTAAGTTACTGACTTTTTGATTCCAGAATTTCTATTTGGTGAGATAAAGTTTTCATGCTTTCTTTTATTTCTTTAGACATGGTTTGTTTTAGGTTTTTGAACATATTTAAACTGAAATTTTTCTAATGGGTCAGACATCTGTGCTTCTTTAGGGACAGTGGGTTCTTTCCCCTCCTTAGGGTCTTTGTTGTTGATTTTGGTAATTGTTTGTTTTTAGTGGCTTTTCTGAGTTAACCCTGTAAATGCTATTCTTTATTGTATTTGGCCACTGGTGTCTGTACTTGGTTAGCTTAGTGGTCACCAAATGACTGTACTGGAACCAGTAAATTTCTGTCTTCACTGAGAGGAGCGGTGTGCATTTGGGGCACTCCTAACACTCAGCCAGGCAGTTGCCTTCACTTCCTGTTTGTTCAGAGGCTCAAATTCAGTTCAGAGAGTTTAAGGTCTTTTCAGGTCTTTCCCTGAGCATGAGCACATCCTAGACATGCATACAGCCTTATGCTTGTATATAGCATTCTGCATTTCCAGAAATATGTTGGAGCTTTTCAAAGCCCCTATGGCACCCTACTCCTCAGCTTTTCCTTTTAAGTCTTTTTGTTCTGTGTCTTTTGCACCAGCTCTTATCCACTGCCTGTAAAATTGTTTTTGACAAACACCCATCTAAGGAAGGTTTTTTGTATTAGGTGAGCTCAGAGGTTAAATATAAACAGTTCTGCAAGTTGGGAGTCTTGTAGGGAACCATTATACGAATCAGATAATGACAAATCTTTGGAAATGAATCTTGGAAAGATTCTGCTCGGTTGTGTGTTTCTGCTCTGGTAACTGCTAGGCTACACCAAGAATCCCAGCAGGTTGTTATTTTTAGAGGCTATCATATAGCTGAGAGCCGGAGATGGGACTAAAGCACTGATACTCAGTGAATTTTCTTGATTAACACTCCCTATATTTCTGTAATCCTTTGGTTAGTTTCTAGAATTGTGAAAAAATGGATTCTGATAATTTTTGTCAATTTTTTTATTGCTTTTATGAAGAAGAGAATATTTGGAAATCCTTATCCTTCCATTTTTAATGGTGTTGCCCTCAGGCAATTTTTAAATCAGGCGGAATCAGAATGGTATGAGTTGAATGAAGACTGGATATATTTTCTTGTTACAGTCCCATTCTGATGTAATAATGCCTTTTCCCCCTATTGGAGTCTAAAGAATTCGACTAGGAAGTAGTCTGCCTGCATTCAAATCCTAGCTTTGATAACTTACTAGTTTATAACTGTAGGCAAATTATTTAACTTCTATATGTTTAGTTGTCTTCACCTGTAAAATGGGGATAATGATAGTACCTACCAATGGGGTTTGTGAGAATTTACAAAATCAGCTTAGAACAATGTCTGGCATGTAGTTATTATTCAGTAAAAATCACTTGTTTTCAGAAGTTACAATGTTGAAAATTTTAGTGTGATTCTGTTACTTAGTCTGTATTTTTTCAGATATCAAGGATTTGCTAACTTCTCAAGTCAATGTAAATTTTTAAAATGCTATAAAAGAATCATTGTAAAATACATCCTTTAATCTGCAGAAATCTGAATCCCCAAAAATATACAATTTTTATATGCAGTGTTATTTAGTAAGCATTAAATAGTAAAGGGAAATCCTAGGTAAAGAGTAGTGAAGAAAACTGCTATTATATGTTTATTTATAATATTATCTGTTCATTTTTATTAGGTTAATAATAATGAAATGGTTGCATTACAACGAGAGCCCAATAACTCCTATGATAAGAATGCAATTAAAGTAAACAATGTGAATGGAAATCAGGTTGGCCACTTAAAGAAGGATCTTGCAGCTGCTTTGGCCTATATCATGGACAACAAATTGGCACAAATTGAAGGGTAATGTACTTTCAGAGTTTAGTTTTAATGATTGTAAGTTGTCATGATCTTTGAACTTGTTAAAAGAGCTTATATAGTTGCTCTGGCAGCTTTTATCACTGTATCATTAGTATGTATTCAGTAAATGTTTTAATTCTCCTCCCATTTGCCTTGACTACTCTGGCCATCAAACAGCTTCACTTTTCCATTGAATTATTATCATGGAGAAAAGCAGACTTTGGTTCAAATATTAGAAAGTTCATTTCATCTCTTAAGGCCTATTAGTGCATAGATTTGGCAGTTTGGAAGTATTTGGTTTAAATCAGAGGTTGTAAATTAGTAGCCTGTGATGAGATGTAGATGAATTTCATTTTGTTCACACAGTGTTTAAAGTTTTTTTCACTTTTTTTCCAATATTCTAGTATGTAGATATTCTACATTTTATATGTGTAAATTTTTTTCCCTGAATATAAAAATTATTTACCAAGATTTTTCTTGACAAATGGAAGATCTGGTAATACTGGACCCTCATTTCCACATGATGTCAGTTGACTGAAACTGAGTAACAGCTGTTCCTTTACCAGGGCATACATTTTCCCAGTTCTACAACCTTTTTCTCTTTTTAGACTCCCAGCTTCCTTAGTGCTATTACTCTCTTTTAGACATTGGTGTTTGTGATCTCAATTAAAGTATTGAACATAAAAGCGATTTTGGAAGTTGCATCTTCAGCAGTGTCTTCTCACTTTGTTTTCTCCTTTCTTAGTCAAATTTTCCAGATCCTGAAAATAAACTTTTAGTGAGTCTTGGGTCAGAAATAGTTCTTACAAATCATTTCCTGTTCTCTCAGAATGGGTTGCCCTTGGTGGTTCTGTTAGTGAAACCTCTACCCTCTCAAACTTACTATTTTATCTATCTTACAATCTTGGTTGTAGGGTATCCTTGTATTTAAATACTGCTTTACCCCATCTTCTCAGTTTCTTCTGGCATTCTGTTTCTAATAAATACCCTTTCCTTCTGATTGTTGTTCATCCTATTCCCTGTCCATTTTCTGTCTTTCTAGTCTGCCCAGTTATTTCCTCCCTACCTTAGTTTTATGCAAAATTTGATTGTAATACTTAGAATATTTAAAAGTCAGGCTTTTAATGGGAGTAAAAAATAACACTTCTAATTTCCTACTTTTTTCCTTCTTACATATGATAGGGTAGTTCCTTTTGGTGCAAACAATGCTTTTACCATGCCTCTGCATATGACTTTTTGGGGAAAAGAAGAAAATCGAAAAGCAGTTTTAGATCAGTTGAAGAAACATGGATTTAAATTGGGTCCTGCACTAAAAAGTAAGCTTATGGTTTAAACTGTTATTTTAGTATTGTACAATGAAGGAATTGTGTAAGATTTATTCTCTTAAGTAATACTTTTGAGTTTGGTTGGCTAAACTACTTTTGTGCTGAAGGCTCCAAGTTGTAACTTTTTTTAGGGGTCTTTTAAGGAGATCCCTGAAACTTTTTTCTCTTCATTTTGAAATAACTATACAGTCATAGGAGGGAATGTGTGCGCGCATGTGTGCACATGCCACATGCGCGCACACATACACACAGATATACAAGGATTTTCTCCCCTAATTTTGTCCAGTAATAATAATGCCTAGAAGTCCCTGATTTTAAACACTCTTTTATTATAGACAAAGAATCTCCCTGTAGGGAATGAAAAGTGTGATTTGTTTGGTGAGCCTTTGTTCAAACAACATGGAATTATTTTAATAATTTGTTTTTTGAATGACTTAGGAATTAGCTTTTAGAGAGATTTTTGAATATATTAAGGGAATCTTTAATGCAGCTTATTACACAAGTTTTAAAAGCTACTTATTAAAAGATAATTTATTTCATTTGGTGATTTTATTCTTTCTATTTGTAAACTTTAGCTCTAGGATTTGGTTTGGAAAGTGGTTGGGGCTCTGGAAGAGCTGGACCAAGCTATAGTATGCCAGTTCCTGCTGCAGTACAGATGACAACTGAACAGGTCTGCTTCTCTTTTATTTTCTAAATAAAAGTAATATTTAAATGTTGAAAATTTATGTTTAAAAGAATTAAGTATATATCTGATATTAGTGGTCTTTAGATATATTGTTATGAAACGTAGAATAAACAGCAAATTGTACTGCAAACAAAAGGAAAGCAGTGATTAGGAATATAGACTATGTGCATACATTTCATACATACATTAAAATACACCCATTGCTGTTTGTACATGGGATGTTTTAGTATGTCTTGGTGTTTTTGTACATGAAATTTTTCAAATGTCCAAATACTAATTTTAAAAAAAATTGAAGCTTAAAACTTTGTTCAGTAAAATTGCAAATGCAGTGCTAAAAAAAATTAATTCCAAATCTTTGACATTAGTCTAGTTTTTGCTTGTCTGATTTGTAATTCAAGATACTGTTATTCTGAGTTAGTTTGAAAAAATTAGGATATAAAATATATAAAATAATGCAGATCAGTCTACAAATTAATATAAACTTTCTTGTCTCTCTTCAATGTTAGCCTTTTTAGATCCTAATTATAGTTACTGTATTTTATCTGCTCATTATTAGAAGGGTTTGAGCCTCTGTCTGATGGGCAAATCCCCAGTGACCTCTCCTAACTTTTTAGATTTTGTTTGATCTCTTCTGGGCTACTCCTGTGTATTCATGTGTTAATTTACATAAGTAATTACAGCACATGTATGTTGCTATAAAACTATGTAAAGTTATATGTAGATTTATTTGTGATAGAGCTGTGACTGAAACCCAGGACTTCACAAATCTCTATTCTGTATTCTTTTGACTGTAACACAGTTACCACTTACATGTAAAGAACCAATTTATTCTTCCTTCGATGAGCAGTGTAGCCTATCAAAAAGCTGACTTCATTGATATGCCTTTTGATAGTTGATTCTTATAGTTAATTATATGATTTGAAATCTTGGAACTAAGTGTAATTATTATATTACTCGGTTTGTTTCTTGATGTTTCTTGTCGCTATTTATTATAGCTTAAAACAGAATTTGACAAGCTGTTCGAAGATTTAAAAGAAGATGATAAAACTCATGAAATGGAGCCAGCTGAGGTACTGAGCCAGTATTTTTTATTTAAAACTATTTGGGATTTTTAAATACACTATTAATCTATTAATTTTTTTTATCATAAGCTCAACCTCTCTAGATCTCTGTGTAGAGAAAAAAGAAAAGGCCTAATTGTATTTCTACTTAATGACGTAACCTTTTATTTATAGGCTATTGAAACACCATTGCTTCCACATCAAAAACAAGCTCTGGCTTGGATGGTATCACGGGAAAACAGTAAAGAACTTCCACCATTTTGGGAACAGCGAAGTGACTTATACTATAATACAATAACAAATTTTTCTGAGAAGGACCGACCAGAAAATGTCCATGGAGGAATCTTAGCTGATGATATGGGTTTGGTAATTATTTTTTTTCTTGAGTTAATAAGTTTTGTTTTGAAATTATGATTTCATAGAAAGTAATTTTGAAGTAGATAGAAGAATATGTTGGTGTGAGTTTGGGACTAAGTTTTACTTTCATGTATGGAACAGTTTTTCCCATGATTTTCACTCAATGCTAAGTTTTTTGTTTTTTTTTTTTTGTTTGGTTAAGGTACAGTTAAAATAATTAGTGGTAATGATAAGGACATGTTTCTCAATTTTCTTTTGAAATCCAAGGCAGCTTATCCTACGTGGGTTTTCTTAAAAAAGAAAAGACAACAATGGTATGTGAAATTGTATTCTGTTGCAAGTATTGGGATATGCAGAGTATAAAATACGTACTTAAGATTTATTTCACCAGCAGTTTTTATACTTTTTTACCTCAGTAACCCTTAACACTCTTAAAAATTATTGAGGATACCAAAGAGCTTTTTTATGTGTGTGCATTATATCCATTAATACCTACAGTAATAGACATTAAAACAAAATTTTTAAATTAACAATCACTTTTAAAATAATGGTTACTAAACTCATTATTTGTTAACATAAATAGCATATTTTTAAATGAAAAGGACTATTCCAAAACAAAAGCCATTTTGTTTCATATTTTTGCAAATCTCTTCTAAATGTCTGCCAAATGACAGCTAAATTTTCGTATCTGCTCTTTCATTTAGTCTGTTGTGATACAGTGTTTTGATTGAAGTACATACAGAAAATTAGTCCTTACATAGATACATAGTTGTAAAAGGGAGGAATATTTTAATAGCCTTTCTAGATAACTGTAGGTACTCTTCTTTGATATAACAACAAATTTAAGCAAGTATTAGTTTATTAAAGGTTAATAGTTAGAAGGTAGAACTTAAAAATCCTATCAGTGAACTTTTTATACTCTTCTGTTAAAATCCATTAGTATAGCTTGCACACTAATATTTTTTTTTTACCCATGCATGACATTGTAACATCAGGCATTGTTTGTTTGGAAAATATTGGTTTCATTGAGTTACACAGGTCTGCCAAATGTTGATGCATTTTATTATACACTATCAAAAGTTTATATTCATTGGTATTACTGCTGATCAAATTAGAAAGCCATTTACATTTTGAGAAGCACTATGCTCATAATGTTGGATACATGTCTTCGGACATTCTAATTTTTCTTTGAAAGCTCAAGTTTATCAATAACAAATACTATCATTTTACTTGAAGATAGTCTCATTTTGTTTACTATTCAAGAAAATGTCTGCCCCTCAGTCATGAATACCTAGTTGTCATTCATTCAAGTAAAAATGATGATATATGGAAAAAAGTGAAACTTCATGGTGCACATCCATTCTTGTTATGCAGAATATTAAAACTTTGTATCTTAGAGTCAGAATTTAATGAAATTAATGTGTACTGCTTCATAAAGAACATTCTTAAAGTGAAACTGACCTTTTTTTTTTTTTTTACATTGGGTATATGGTGGTTAAGAATACAATGACCACTAGTTTAATGAATTGCCAACTGCTTTGTTTCATAATCAGGCAATAGCAGTTTTACCCACTGGTGCCTTTTGTGGCATTATTGCAGATGTCAACATATATTAGATCTTAGTAGTATTAAAATAATTTTGACTGCACATATTTCTGAAAGGGATTCTTGAAAGGGTCCTGGGAATCCCGAGAGCCTGTGGACCACACTTTGAAAACTGCTGCCTTACAGTACTTTATAATTGCTAGAGATTTATTTCTGTGTTGCTGTTTATAAATTCAGCTATGGAAAATAATGAAAATCACATTTCATTTAAGACAAATCACAAGAAAATAGGTCCTTTATGCTTTACTGGTAAATGTTAGCTTTTATATCTCAGAATTGTCTTGAAATGAGATTTAATAAAATGATCCATCGTGTGTACTGAAGTTACTAATCATCTTAAAATAGCTCTGATTATGTGGCAAGTAAATAGTTGTAGTTTCATGATAAAGTTATTAGTTCAGGGTTAAATGTAAACTTATAATAGCAGTCATTCAATAGAACGATATTTCTCAGAGATGCTTATAGTATTTGATAAGAGTAAACCATTTAATAATTCCTAGTAGTGCAGTATGGGAACACATTTCTTAACTTAATGAAATAGTTTCCACTTAAGTGTATATTATTTAATCATTACATTTCTGTGGCCTTGACTTATAATTAAATGTAATAATCATCACACTTTTGTGGCCTTTTGATATTTGCTTACTTAATTTTAAAATTGGTTTTGGAATGTTCTCTGATTGGGTTTCAGAATCTGACCGTTTGTCTTTTTAAAACATTTCAAAGGGCAAAACTTTGACAGCCATTGCAGTAATTCTTACCAACTTCCATGATGGGAAACCTCTTCCTGTTGAAAGAATTAAAAAAAATCAACTTAAGAGGGTAAAGTATTATTAAGTGTGTTTTCTTTGAAATCTCTGGTTTATTGTAAAACCTTATTAATTTTGTCATTAAAAAACAGTTGCCAAAATAATTGATAATATCCATTGCTTTGAGACTTGATAAATGAATTTCCTATCTTGTATTGCTTCTGAGTGGAAGCTAGTACCACATTGTTGAGGGCAGTTTGGTAGTATGTATCCAGAGCCTACACTGTTTAAAATCATTGACTCAATAATTCCATTTTCAAAGAAACTATGTAAAGAAGTTATCAGAAATTATTTTTTCCAAAGATAAAAGTACACATTTTTTCCCCTCAGCATTATTTTAAAGCCAGGTACACATCTGTGTAGAATTTGAGTCCTTTTTTTATAAATGTGTATTTATGTATATCTACATGTGGTCACACACACTGTATGTGTGAAAGTTAATAGTGACAATTATGGCCTAGTGATGAGAATATGGGTGACTTTTCTTGGTATTTAATTTATATATATATACTTAGCATACATATGTATTATATATATACTTACATTCAATTTTTAAGAATTAAATAGTTGTTGTTACAATGAAACAATTTTTTTTCATTCTCAGCTGAAAATACAAAGAACTTAAAGTAGGAAAGAAGGGAAAGGTGTGGGCCAAAAAATACCTCTTTTTTGGTTTTACTGCTATTGTAATTTTTTTAATTCTTGGGAGTTTTCAGAGGCTGCACATCAGTTCTTGCCATAGCTTACTGAGATTGTGTTACAGATTTCTGTTTTTAGTTGCATTTCCTTCTTTTACTTTTTTTGGGAGTTTAACCCTGTTAATAATGTCTGAGATTCAGTCCCCTACCGTGAATAGGCCAATGCTTTATGTCCTGTTCTTCTATGTTTGGTTATTACAACTGAAGTAAGTCTAGTACAGCTTTAGTGTTAGTTATCAATTTAAAAATTATCTATTACTAATAAGGCTTTTCTTTTTCTCCCACAATATCAGCCATACATTTAAGGTTGTGTAGTAGGAAGGTTTTAGGATATTTAGTTTGCTCCATCAGTTAAAATTGAGACTGAAAATGTAATTTCCAGCAAAGATTTATTGCAACAAAAATTACATCATTTAAAATAGATTTAGATATTTCAGGCTTACAGAGTGAAATGTCATTGACTTAAATTCCATTATATTGGAGTATGGTATGATTTAATAGGTTGTACTTTGTAGAAAATTTATCTTTTAAATTCTATGAAGAAAAAGCTTGCTGAGCAAAATCATTTAATATACAAAGAATAATGTAAAAGATATTTTTTATTTGTAGATAGAATTTTAGATTATTTTTGTGTACTGTTTAAGTGGTTATGATAATTATTGACAGATTAGGTAGAATGATGAAAAGCATTTCTAACAGTTTCTTGGAGCCAATGCTTTAAAAAGTTAGTTAAGTCTTACAGATCTCTAAAAATGTTGCATTTTGGATTTTTAATTAGACTCATACCATTAAAAGGGGATGGGTTGTCTTTTCAGCCACATTTTTAGTAAGATTTAACTCTGGTAGGATTTTATAAGATATTTAAGATTCCATTTTCTTGTAGCTAAAATCAGATATTCTAGTTTTGGCCCTAATTTTCAGCAGAAGTTACTTTACTCCTGCCCACCCATCCCAATCTCCACTCTGAGGTTTTGGTTTACAGTCTGGTATCATTACCTACCTTTTTTAAACTGGAAGAATTAATTTAATTCACCCAATTTCATTTGTTATTTCTACCTACAGATCAAGTCAAGACTTAAAAATAAGATTGGAGGAACCCTGTCCTATTAGACTCAGTTAAAAATATTTTCACAAAGGAGTATAAGATTTTACTTTCATAGAAGTTTTTATACTCCTATTATACATTGATGCATTTTGACACAAAGGGGTATACATGAAGGGAAAAGAAAAAAGACAGGGTTGGCAGGAAAATCCCCAGTTGAGTAAGAGAGGAGGCACTCTGGGACCTGTAATACTGTATCTCCTCACTCTGGGAAATCCAGAAAACATGGGTGGCAATGGCAGTCTCTTTAAAGATCTATTATTGACTGAGTAGGGTTGGCTTGAAAGTTTGTAGTCTGAGAATTCCTTTTAATTCTAAAGTAAACCCCAGTTTGTGAGTGTTTCTCACGGTAACTAATATGCCATTTTTAGTTGAATTTTGCTTTTTGTACTCCTTTTGAAAAGGTAAAAACCAGCTGTATTTCTTTTTTGATGTTACGGTGAAAAAAATTTTAATTAATTTGTATATTCTTCATTTAATCTACTTTTCCCCATCACTCCAGAATGGGGTAGCAATTTACTCTTTATTATGTAAAGTAAAGCAGTTAAAATAGGATGCATTTTGAGTTTAGTTAAAACTGACAGTAGTACTATCTAAGAAATATGCCTTTTCATCCAGGAATGTAATGTTAATGATCAATCTATGATGCTTGGAGGAAACAATACCAGTGAAAAGGCAGATGAACTAATCAAAGGTTAGTCAATTTTAATTGTCACCATGACCCCATATTTGATTTGGATTTCTCCAATTTAATGATGTTATTCAATCTCTGGTTTTGTACTGCAGAAAATTTCACATCACTTTTTCTAAAGAATCTCATGAGGACTAGTCAGGAAAAATTTAATCAATATGGTGATTATGGAATTGGGTAGTACACAAATCAGAGAAGCATTTTTGGTAGGAAAAAAAATCGCATGAAAAGGCATTTAAAAGAAAACGAAACATGGAACATATTTGGCTCTGGACTTCAGAATAGTTTATGACATTTATAACATAATGTGCCTGGATAACAAAATAAGGATAGAAAGATAAGTTAGAGCCAAATTCTGAAGTCTGAAGAGAAATGTGAAGGGATGTCTGAATTTAGCAGTTAATGACTTTGACAAAATTACTTTCTGAGGATTGGTTAGAACAAAGGAAGACTGAAAATATTTTAAGATAAGAATGCTAGATGAAGAACTAGAATCTTTTCTTTTGTTTTAAGGAAATTTATGGATAGGAAGAGATTTTGGATACAATGGAGAGAATAATTTGTAGGCCTTTTGGTGGAAATGAGATCAAGAGAATCAGTAGATGAGTTTGCATTAGAAGGAAAGTAAGGTTGAGGGAAAATAAAGATAATTGAGGGAATAAAACTGGGAAAATTAGGAGTTTATGAAAGATGACATCTGATTTTCCTTGTAAAGTGAAGTGGGTCATCTGCTGGGAGTAAAGGTAGTTAAAAGTCTCAGCAAAGGATCCAATATAGTATATATCATTCTGGTGAGTGGATAGGGAGGCTGTGTGACACACAGAAGAGTTGCTAAGTGACACAAGGCCACAGCTGATATTTGAAAATGTAAATTTATACTACCACCTATATATTATTTATTTTTTTCTAGCAGCTCTTGGCTGCCTTGGAACATCAGTAAATTCAGCCAGAAGTGTGGAAATTGGCTGAATGACTGTAGGGGAAAGACTTGGTACAAGAAACAGAAGGTAATTTTTAGTGAGAGAATACTAGATTAGGAAACAAGTAGAGTAGCTGGCTGATGGCAAGGACAGGAATGAACATTTAAAGTTGAACTATTGAGTTGAAAACCAAGGTTTTAAGAAGGATATTGCTAGTTATCAGAAACCTCACTAATACTCTCTGTATTTGTCCTTTTCTTTGAAATGGAAGGACCTAGATGTAGTGGAGAACCCAGTATTTCAGATGTCCAGGGAAAGAATAAATATCCCAAGTCAGAATTGTCTAGCTCCCGCCCCAAAAGGTAAACTCTGTTATGGTTTGATTATATGTAATATGTTTATTTAAACTCTTTCTCCATTTTTTCATGTATAAGAGAAAGATACCATTATTATCTCAGTTACATTGTTCTTCATTCTCATTCTTTTATTTGAACTGCCATAATCACTCTATGATGAGGTAGACTGTTGTCATTTTATAGGTGAAGAAAAGTAATATTAACCAAAAAGAAGTGAATTGCTAATTTTTAGTAATCATTTGTCTACCACTTTTTCCTTTTTCTTTAACAATAGGAGCTAAGATCTAGCTCCTGGGTTTTTTTAATTGTTGAGGCATTAGAAGAGTTTTCTTTATGAATTTTAGGAGATGAAAACTAATGAAAATTTATTGAATGGCTTGACAAAACTGTTCTTTGCTTTTCTCAATTCTCATTTCACCTTTAGTGGAAATAAGACTTGATAAAGCTATTTATGGAGAATATTATCTTAATGTAGACTAGAGGAAGAATTTAAAAACACAATGCCTCTCTGATTACAACTTAAATTTGTTAACTTTATAAATTTCATTTACCTCTGAAGTAGATCTGAATACTTGGTTTCTTTGTTGTATTGTCCCCATCAGTATCTGCAGGTGTGATTTCAAATCTGAGTCGGTTAGGTATTCGCCCAGAAAAGATCTCAAAACTGGGGCTTTGTTAATTGTTCTTTATCATTAATACCTGACCAAGCTGAGTACAAAACCAAGACTTATTAGTTTCCCTGTCATCTAGATTGACTCTTACAACTCTGAACTGACCATGAGCCTGGGTAAAGTTCTATCAGGTGGACCAGATCAGAGGACTTGGAAATCATAACAAGGACATAGGAGAAACTATTAACCACACATATTATAGCTAATACAAAAATGCCTATTGGCAGCACATTTTTTCTTGGGGCTTTGCATGTAGTTAACACATTTTATCCTGTTAAATGGATTGTATTTTTATGCCTCTTTTCCAAATGAGGAAACTGGGGCATAGAAGAATAATAGGTGACTTGCACTTGCCTAAAGTCACATAGTGGTGGAATGGGAATCTAAGCTGTCTGGTTCCAGAGTCCTTTGTTCTTGGGCACTTAACCAGTGTACTTAACAGTATACTGTTTCTATACAAAATTACAAATATTTTCATTATGTAATAATTATATTTTTGCCTCTTAGTTGTTTATTTCATTATACTGGGAGTGTTTCTTTGTTTAGAGTCATTTCTTCATTTTTATATAATGTTTTAATTGAATTGCCATACATCAAACTCATTATTAAAATGATTGCTCTTTTAGAATGGTTTACTTTTTCAAATTTAATAATAGTAGTACTGCATTTATATAGCAAATGCATCTGGTTATGAAAGCAAAGTGCTTTTAGTAAATCTGACTTTTATTTATCAAATAAAAATTACCCTTGAAGTTTTTTAAAAAAAATAAATAGGGAAAGACTAGAAACATTTGTATTGTATTTATTGAACATAGGTTTTTATATCTCATTTTGTTTTGGGTTGATAAAAATTTCTGCATACTTTCAGAAGAAAAACTGCTATTCAGTATACCGAAAGCAGTGATTCAGAGGAAATTGAACCAAGTGAACTGCCACAGAAAATGAAAGGTAATATGAAGTGGATTTAATTTGATAATGTGTCCTATATTCTAATTTTGTAGTGTGACCATTTTTATATTTGGTTTTGCTTTTAGGCAAACTGAAAAAGGTACAGTCAGAGACTAAAAGCAGAGTAAAAGGTATGTATATACACATCAAAATTATTAAAGCAAAAGTTCATTGATTTGTATTTCTTTAGCTTGGAATTCTGTTAGTAAATCTTAAAATTGACTGTAGTTTACATTTGAACTATTCATGGAGCTTTACCAACAGTGCTAAATGAATGGGGCAAATTGAAAGAATAGTTTCAAATTAAAACCTGAGAGAAAATATTTAAGTTAAACAAAACAAAATTTCCTACCCACTTATAAAATGATCTCTAAAACTTTGTATATGTATAAATTATAATTACAAAGGTTGGGTGGAAGCGCTGTCTTGGCAATATTATTGTTTGCATTATCATACAGATGTAAAAACAAACTGGTGAATAACTTTACCTTTTCCTTTACCTTTAAAACATACACTTTTCTTCTAAATCAGATCACATTGCATTTCTGATTAGCTACAATTGCATTGCATTGGAAAATAACTCATTACCACTGACTGGTCTGCAGTTGTGGCAGCTTCATCATTAGAAGTCAAGTACCTGTTTCCTTGAAAAAAATTCTTCTGCCTGGAAGCTGAATCATGTTGCTCCTATTTTCACATCTCTTCATCAAGAGAAGCAACAATTTATCACAAATGGCTACATCCCTTATCTGAGCTGGAAGGATAGGCTTTGTGTTAGAAGAGTAGTTTTGGTTGCTAGATATTTGATTTTTATGTAATATAGCCCTCAAGATAGAGAATGTGGAAGGTGGTATTCTGTTTTCTGTTTTCAGAAAGTACCTGTATCTAAGCATAGGAGAGAATTAGTTTTCAAATACCTTAACGATTCTGTTGTTTTTATTTCAGCAGGATCTTCTAAGGTTAAAGAAGATTCAGAGTTTGCATGTGCACTTACTTCATCTGCCCCTGCAACAAAAAAGAAAATGTTGAAAAAGGGTTAGTAAATTTGTTCTTCTGGTTTGTTTTGTTTTTTCTGTTTTTCAAAGAAATAAATTTAAAATGCCAAAAGTTGTAAGACCACATTACAAAAAGTTTAGAAAGCAGGGAAAAGGAAAAAACCCACATAATCCCATAAATGTGTTTTCCTTCTAAGTACCTCTTCCTATTCTTTTTATTTTAGTTAGGTCAAAAATAAGATGGAAAGAGGTTCCCTACTCATCCTAGTTGCAGAGGTATTCTAGTGAAGGTACAGAGCAATTTATGGCTGTTTTAAAACTTAATTTAATTTGGATTAATTTAAATTATAGTAAGATTTAATTTTTGGTATGAGTAGAATTTGCTTTTCATCTAAGAATGTTAGTGATCTTTATTATAATTTTGTAATTCATAGGAAAACAATGCTTAAGAGTATAAATATTTGAGATCGAACTAGGGTTAAGGAGATCTGGGACAAGTTATTACATCTCTGATCATAGTCTCTGTTTTACATGTTAGGGATAGAGCAGACAAAAATCTTTTCATGGAGTTGATGTATAATGATGAGGGAAACAAACAAGTAAACATACAAGTTCAAATAATGTGTGCTGTGAAGAAAATAAGGGAGGATAGTGGAATAAAGATTGACTAAAGGGACCTAGATAATATATTTGAGCCAAAACAGAATAATGACAAAGAGGTAACTTTTGGTCTAAGAATTAGACAGGAATAGAAATACTGGCATTTCAAATAGATTACTCTTGCTCCTAATTTTAGAAATTTTAAGAAATGTGGAATTTTTAATTAAGATAGATTTGAGATAGAATAAAATTCATGAAAATGCCATTCTGTTGCAGACATAGCTATAATACAAGAGAAAGAAATCACAGCTGTGATAAAACCAAAATAAATATATTTCTGGGATAGAAGTAAAATAGAAATAAAAATTAGTAAGTGGAGATGTAAGCTTTCTCTTATGGTAGGTAGTGATTTTTTTTAGAATAAGACACAAGTTATAAGGAAAAGTTTGGTTAAATTCTATGTTTTAAGTTTTCATGCATCAAAAGGCCCCATAAAAAAAGTGATAAATTAGAGGCTGAAGAAGATATTTGTGGTAAGTGTAATTTACAAAGGATTAGTACCTAGAATATGTAAAGAATTCTACAAATCAATTAGATGAAGAAAACCCAAAGGGAGGATAGTCACTAAGAGTATAAATGTATAGACTGTGTACAGAAGATCCAAATAACCAATAAACATGGGAAAAAAGTATGTAAGCTCAGTCATTGGGGAAATGCACATTAAGTGAGCAGAGAGATACCGTCTCGCCCATCATATTTACAAATGTTTAGAAATCTCACACTGCCAAGTATGGGCAAGGTTATAGCAGCAGGAACTCATGAACTTTGGATGGGAGTGTAAATTATCATGGAAAGCAACTAGGCCAAATATAATGAAACTAATGCTACACTACCTAAACTCTATAGGTACATACAAGGAGACATGAAAAATAGTTTTCATTGCCTCATTATTTTAGTGAAATACTGGAAATCATGTAAATATGTCCAACAGCAGAATGGAAAATAAAATTGTAGTATGTCTTTCCATAGGCTGCCTGAGTGTCCTCACAAATGGCAACTTGTTTCCCTCAGAGGGAGTGATCAGAGAGAGAAAAAGTGGAGAGAAAAAGAACTTAAGACAGAGAAGCTGCATCTCTTATAAGTTAATCTCCAAAGTGATAAACAACCACTTCTGTCATATCCTGTTGGTCACATAGACCAACCCTGAAAGAGTATGGGAAGAGACCACGAGGTTGTGGCTCTTCAGGAAGTAGATATCAATGGGGGCCATCTTGGAGTCTGGCTACCATATTAACTATAGCACAAATTCACAAAACTGCATAAAACAGTGTTCATCTCACTAGATAGCTATGATAACTTAACAAATACCTATTAGAAGATACTCCAAACTTGTCCTTGTGCCCCATCATTCACAGTCCTCTCTACTATCTGGATTTTTAGTTGCTTAAGATGGCAAGGTAAAATCTAGTTCTTTTTATTTCATTATGGCTAGAAACAGAGGTCCATCTCCTTCCCTGTGGTTCTTCCTACTTCTCTTTTCATAGAGGCACATTATTGTTATCTCTTTATTGACCACCTATATATTTGAGAAAAAAGCAGCTACTGGTTATGTCACTGATTCTTTCAGGGGCATCTGCAGTGGAGGGTTCAAAGAAAACTGATGTTGGAGAGAGACCAAGAACAACACTGATCATCTGTCCACTTTCTGTGTTAAGCAACTGGATTGTAAGTCTTTACAATCCTTTATAAGTGTGATGTAATTTATATTTGTCTCATATGTTAGAAAGTATTCTTTTGTTGGGATAAATATGCTTGGTCAGCACTTTATATTCAAGTTCAAATAATTGGTGAATTGAGGTTGTGTCTGCTGAATAGAAGTAGTTTTTATTTGAAGATAACACAGTAGAGAGAGAAACATCAACTGCTATCGTAAGGTTTGGGTTATACTTCTGCCTCTGCCATTCTGACCCCCAAAGTAGGAAAGGTGTATAATTGAGACTCCACCAAATTTATAAACCATTGGAACTTCTTTTCTAAGAACTTAGCTAATAATAGCTTCTATTTTTATAACATTGAGCTTCTTTGTGTTCATTTTCCCTAAACTCTTCAAACTCTTTAACAGATTTTTCCTTTAATCCTCACAACTATTCTTATTTTCCAGGTGACCAAATTGTCAGAGAAATTAAGTTGCCTAAGGCCATCCAGCTAGTAAATGATGGAGCTAGGATATAGTCTCTAACATTCTGACTCTGGAGCTACTTCTAAGGCTATCCACCAGAAAATTTGGTCTTTTTTTTTTCTTTTTCCAGATTGCTTTTCTGTTCTAAAAACATTTCATTGAAATGGAACCTCTTTATATATTATGTATAAGGAGCAACTTGATTCTGTTTCCTTTCCAGTTTAAGTTTCAAGATTCATGTTATAATGAAATAATGGCTATTGGAAGCACTGTGAACATAAAGAGCACTGTATGTGAACTTCCATTCTCGCTACCTCCCCGGTTATCTGCATCTCTCCTGGCCATTCCTTCTCTAATCTCAGAGGTGGAAGAAGTCCTACCCTTCATAAGACCAAGACCTTAGTCTGTACATTGGATTCTATCTCTTTCCACCTTTGTATTTTATCTGTTATTTTTCTCCTTGCCTGATTATTGAGTCTCTTCATACTGACACTCTTCATGAAACATACTGAGATCTTTTCATTTTTAAATATTTTCTCTTGATTATGTCTCACCTTAGGTTGGTACTCTTCTGCTTTCATTACTGTTGTACATCTTGGAGTTTACTATCTAACTGTCTAACTTAACTCGCTTATTAAGCTATTATAAGCACAGTCTGATGATTCTTTATTTCTCTCCCTTCTTATTCCTCCTCCTCCATTCTTTATATGTTAGGTGCTTTATTCTGTGTTCTTTTGTGTTTCCTTTGACTGCTTTTGTGGGTAGTTGATTTTATGTTTTGCCCTTAGTTAGTATGTGGTTGGTCTGCTTTCTTTCCTGTGATTTTATATTCTCTGGTGGCATCTATTTAGCCTTAGAAGTGCTCCCATCTAGAGCAGTGCCTCTAAAATACCCTGTAGAGGTGGTTTGTGGGAGGCAAATTCCCTCAACTTTTGCTTGTCTGGAAATTGTTTAATCCCTCCTTCAAATTTAGATGGTAATTGTGCTGGATACAGTATCCTTGGTTCAAGGCCCTTCTGTTTCATTGCATAAAGTATATCTTGCCATTCTCTTCTGGCCTGTAAGGTTTCTGTTGAGAAGTCTGATGACAGCCTGATGTGTTTTCCTTTATAGATGGCCATTTTTTCTCTCTCTGGCTACCTTTAATACTCTGTCTTCGTGTTTGATCTTTGCCATTTTAATTATTATATGGCTTGGTGTTGTCCTCCTTGGATCCCTTGTGCTGGGAGGTCTGTGGGCTCCATGGTTTGAGAGACTGTTTCCTTCCCCAGCTTGGGGAAGTTTTCAGCAATTATTTCTTCAAAGACTTTCTATCCCCTTTTCTGTCTCTTCTTTTTCTGGTACCCCTATAATGGGAATATTATTCTGTTTGGATTGGTCACACAGTCCTCTTAATATTTTTTCATTCCTAGAGATCCTTTTATCTCTCTCTGCCTCAGTTTCTCTGTATTCCTGTTCTCTGATTTCTATTCCATTAACAGGCTCTTGCACCTCATCCAGTCTGCTCTTAAGTCCTTCCAGAGACAGTATTATTTCTGTATTCTCCCTCCCACCTTTATCCTTTAACTCTTGTAAATTTCTCTGCAGATCCATCAGCATGGTTATGACCTTCATTTTGAAATCTTTTTCAGGGAGATTGGTTAAATCTATCTCCCCAGGCCCTCTCTTGAGGGTTGTCTGGGTAATTTTGGACTGGACCAAATTCTTCTGCCTTTTCATGGTGATAGATGTAGCTGTAGGCAGGTAGCATGTGTGTCAGCTGGGAATACAAAGTCCTTTCCTGCTTGCTGGTCACCTTGTCCTTCTCCGCTGCCTGTGTTGGTTACCCGCACTCCTAGAGCAGCCTCCGGGTTAGTCTCCTAAGCTGCTGTGGTCAGGGTCTCCGTCAGGGTAGTGCAGAGCCCTGCAGGGAGTAGCAGGCGCACTGGGTGTGCTCTCCTGTGAGAGCGGCGCCCCTGCCGGGCAGCTGAACACTCGTGATGGCCTTTGGGTCTGGCCCGGGTGGCTGTGCGCTGAGAGGAGATTCTGTGTGGTTGCGCCCTGGCAGCTCGGCCAGCACAGGCTTGCGCAGGCTGCTCTCATGTTGCTTGCTTGGCCACTGCCACCATGGGCTTGCGCGGGCCACCCCCCCGGGGCCGCTTGGTCAGCTGCCGCTGCCACCGGTTCACGCAGGCTGCTCCCGGGCCCCTTGATCAGCTGCTGCCACTGGCTCACGCACTACTGGGCCAGTGTGTTGGGGTGTGCGCCGGCCAGGGGAACAACTGGCATTCTGCTTATCACTGTGAGGGGCTTCAGAGCTGTGCTGCCGCCCAGGGGCTTAGGGTGCCTGGAGGTCCCCGGGGTTCCCAGCCGCTGGGCTGAGTGTGCTGGGATAATTCCATCTAGCTGTGAGGACCCTGTCCTTTTAAGACTTTCAAAAAGCACTCGCTTTTCTTTTATCCTAGAGGAGCTGGTTTTGGGGACCCGCTCACAGATTTTGCCCTTCCGTTTCTCTAATATCTAGCACACTGTGCACCGTGTGTCTGCGCTCCTGGTGTGGATTACTAGAGCTGGTTGTTTAGCAGTCCTGGGCTTTCACTCCCTCCCCACTCTGACTCCTTTCTTCCCGCTGGGAAGCTGGGGTGGGGTGCCGCTTGGGTCGTGCTGGGCCGTGGCTTGTATCTTACCCCTTTGTGTGATGCTGAGTTCTCGCAGATGTAGATGTAGCCTGGCTATTGTACTGTATCCACTGGTCTCTCTTTTAGGAATAGTTGCATTTGTTGTATTTTCAAAAATATATATGTTTTTGGGAGGAGATTTCCGCTGAACTACTCACGCCACCATCTTGGCTCCTCCTCTCCTCCACATCTTGGAGTTTAATTTCCACTTTGTACTTTTACTTACTAACTCTCTAACATTGTCATCTGTCTTCTGCCACCAGATCTCTAAATTGCATTGGAAAAGATCAGTAGTTATTGTCTAACTGTCAAAATCCATAGCCTCTTTTCATTTCTTGATTTTTATATAAGCTTACCTTTTTATTACAAGTTCTGGGTGTTTTTTAAAAAAATTATACCTTCCGATTACTGTGTCATTTTTTTCTCTTGGGACCAGAATGAGTTTAACTTCTCTCTTGCTCATTTTTCTTTTCTTTCAACAAAACTGCTCTTTCTTTTGATGTATGGTCCATTGTGGGAAGGGCAGTACATGAGTACTTAAATGGCTGTTTCATAGTGTGGTTTATGAGTATGAACAGAGGTATAAACAATAGAACTGTGATTCTTTAAGAGCTTGGGATGCAGAAATGTGTTTTTAAAATGGTAATCAGTATTCCAAATAGTTTTGCATTTGGAAAACACCAAACCTCAGAAAGGAAACCTTAGCAAAATCTTGCCTACTAAGATTGTGAGAAAACTTAGTTTTAAAGGATTGAGGCATGGTTGGGCATATAGGGATTTGTGGTCAAGAATTAGAATTTTGCAGTCTCTCAGCAAGCTACTCTGTTTCTAGCCCTCAGGTAAATGACCCAGCACCCTAATGAGTAGGCTAGAACTACCTTGTTTGTCTTCAAACATGGGAGAGAATCCAGTTAAAGGAGTAAGATACTAATCCCCTCCTGCCACAAGCTTTTTCTGGATATTAATGCAAGTTACTTAACTTCTTAATGGAAAATGAAATAATAAACTTAATGTCATTCACACACACACACTAGCACAGTGACTACAAATTCACTGCTAGAGTTCTACTTCTCCAGAAAAGTTAATATTATTCTATTTCAAATCTAATCCTTCCACAGATATGCTCTGTTCTGTTTCAAGGAAGTTGTTGTTTTCTCATTAGCTTCTTCATCCTTTTTTACCAAATTCCTTGATAAAACTCTGCATTTTCCCTCTTCTCTGTATTTTTGCAATTACTGTTTCAGGTTTCATTCTCTCTTCAGCCCACTGTAGTCCAGTTTTTGCTCCCACCCTGTATAGAGACTCTCTTTGTGAAGGCTTCAGTGGGCTTCAGTGATGTCATTATTTCTGTGTCCAGTGAATTTCCTTTTTCTTTTCCTCTGCCCTGATTTTTTTTCCTTTTAAAACTTTTTGTTATGTCTTACTTTGTAAGCCATCTTTAAACTTTTTTTAATGAGGGGGAATGAACATAAATTACAAATTTCAAAATTGATCTTGTATTCCTTCTTGAAATTTGATATTCTTTGTACCCCCACCCCAAAAGAATTTTGATTGCTACTCTAATTTTCTGACCATTGTTTTTCTCTGCCTCTATTTTTCTCCCATGGTTTCTATTTAGTCTGCTTTTTTCCCACCTTAAAACATTGTAGTTTTTTTTTTAAATAATATGAAAGTTTACTCATCAGCATTCAGGAATTTCAAAAGGTTACCACATTTGCTTTATTTTTTTCTTTGCTGGAGTATTTAAAATCATATCCCAAACATCATCTCCCAATAGAAGCATAAGCCTGTTCTTTAAATACTGGTATTCTGTAGACTCTGCCCCTAACCTTCTTTTCTCATTGTACATGTTCTCCTTAGAAAATCTTACGCATTCCTATAGCTTCCTG